CTCAGATAGCGGCTAAACGGCTTGCGCTAGAAGTATCAAATTTGGAGACCTTTCCTAAAATGTCTCTGGAAAAAAGTTCATATTAGTTTGATACTAGTAAGTTGATGTTTTTTTGTGTTGCCATGGCAACGGGTTTCTAGCAGGCAGTTTTTTTAAATTTTGATTTAAACATAAAATTTTTTATAGTTTTATATTAAATTACACTTCTTTTCCAACATGAATAACATCTTACATAATTGAATATAAGTTAAATCATTTAATATGCATAGAATATGCTAATTTGATGACGTCATTGGTCAAAATCCAATATGGCGGACTACATTATTAGCTCTGACGTCATATGACGTCATAATTACACCAAAGTTATTAAAATTTAATTCTATTACAACACCATTCTCTGAAAACTTGGTAGACATACGATGAGTGCATAAAAACATATAAAAACGGAAATAAGGTAATGTATAAGAACGCCAGTGTATCCATTATGATCGAAAGCCGGCTGGGGGTCCGCGCGGACCCCAAAAGAAAATCAGATATAATTTTTTTATGAATGGTAGAAACGGATTTTTCTGCACTGTATTTAGAGACAACTTTGTGGGTGACAATTACCTAAAATTTCAGAAAAAAATCTTTAGAAACAAAAAAGATATTACAGAATATATAGTGCTGGGGTCCGCACGGACCCCAGGTGTACTGTTTAGGGTTAATAACCTGTGGCTATGAGGCATGGGATCTACCCGCAGGATCCAGGCCCTGAGGATGAAATGCTACAGAAAGATTGTGCGTATAATTTAAGTGGACCATCGCTCACCCATTTCTCTGTTTTAGCAGAACTGGGAATGGAAACAAACTTAAAATCATAAAAGGAGGAAATTGCATTACTTGAGAGTTGGGACATGTCACAAGTGTGGGTAACATCACCATTAGTATATTACAATGGACCATTAACAGACGGAGGAGCCACATGAGACTACGAAGGAGGTATAGGGTAATGACATCCGTGACTGGATAGACACATATACACCACTGGCAGAGTGTTTCACTGGCCCATAGTCAGGAAGGAATAGAAACGGCTAATGCTAAATCCCACCATAGTCCCCGATCCTAAGGCAATATGATAGGACTAGGGGAAGAAAGGGGTATTGTTATCTTTAGTTCATATCTGTAATCCAGCGACACTAGTAAGCAACTGACCTTCTTGAAGGCGTGCACATCGTCGGCAAGAATGTTGCTGACTTGGCCCGTTGAGGTCTTTGAGAGGCCGCCCGTGCTTAATCGCAAACACTGGGAACAGACAACAACCACGACAATTGACAATAGTTCGAAAATTCTTTTTCTCTGCTGCTTCATGTACCACCCGCCCATCTATCCGTCCATCAACCCACACCCATCCTAGTCTGCTGAGATCATTAGGACTCCCAACTTGACCTCATAGTCAATCTGCGGTTACAACCTATGCCGCATGCAAGTGCCTACGACATCCACAGTCACACACACACACAAGCCAAAAACAATAAATCTAAATACACTTAAGTTGTAATGAAAGACATTCTGTACCTTTTCGTTCGCCATATTCATGATCGCCGTTTCAAATGAAATGCCCACAGGTGGCAGGCCATTCGTAGTAGCCGATGATGACTTGGAAAACCTGCAGACCAGCAAGAATCCCAGCGTACATGTAGGCATCGGTCAGGGTCATGCCGCTACTGGGCTCGAAGTACTTAATGATGTAGCCGATGAGAATAGGCTTAACCAACGTTAAGGTATCCTGTAAGAAGGGGTGGGAACACAATAAGAAACAAGAGACACAAACACAAGAAACACTGCCAAATGCCATTTGTAATATATGCTAAACCATACGTAAATAGTTTTATGTTGTAGCATATAACGTATAACTGGATGCAAAATCGACGTAGCTTGTTAAATAGTTACTTACATCGAAAAGCTTTACAAATCCGACCAGGAAATATCGCAAGCCATAGCATCTGATGATTGCTTTTGATAAGCTTGGGGGTTTCTTGGGTGTTGACTTCTTTAGTTCTCTTTCCCAATACCTGCAAACACACACAAAAGTCACTTTTTATTGTTATTACCTTCACCAAGAAGGTTATGTTTTCGTAGGCGTTCGTGTGTGTGTGTCTGTCTGTCTGTCTGTCTGTCTGTCTGTAAACACGATAACTTGAGAAGGCTTAAATGGATTGACTTCGTATTTGGTAGGTGGGTAGGTCTTGATGAGACCTCGAAATGATTAGATTTTGGGCCCCCTAGCGGCTTCTTATGGTACTGCAGCTGAACTTCCGGTTTGATATCTCGTGATCTGGATGTGCTGGGGTCATGAAATTTGGATGGTAGGTACGTCTT